GGAGGGGAGCAGCGCCCTGCTGGTTCTGCGGTGGCCTGGCCCAGACCTGTCCTCACGCTCAGCCCGCACTCTGGCCTGGCTCTGGCTGGCTCCCCGCCTGCTCAGTCCCCACCCCACTCACCATTTCCCTTCCCTGGAGAGTGTGACACAGGCCTTGTTGTTGACCTGTTTCTGAGCATCAGTCTGTCCTGGGTGAAAGTTTCACCGTGAATTTGTTTTTTCCCTCAGGAAGATGGTTGGTACCAGTTGAGGATATTTCCAAGGCCAGTTTCTAGGGGTTAGGAGTGGCCTGGAAGTTTGAATTTCATGGGAGATGTTGCTCTACACAGGCAGCTTCCTAGGGCCTTAGCATTAACCAGTTTGGGGGTCTGCAGTCACCCAAGGGAGTTGTTTTTAAGCCGGTGTTTCTCAGGGTTGACTGGTGACACTTGTGGCCAGCATGTCGGCAGCTGTCCTGTGCGTTGTGGCGTGTTCAGCTACCTCCCTGGCCCCCCTCATTAGGTGGCGCGATTTCCTTCCCCCAGTGGTGACGGCCAAGAACACCCCCATACACTTACCTAACGTATGTATGGGGGAGGTGCTCAGGGAGCCAGGCGTTAGCAGCGTCAGCTGGTACTTACAGAGCAGTTCTAGGTTCCCAGCAAAACTCAGCAGAAGGCGGGGTTTCTCCACACCCCTGCCCCGTCCACGCGTTCCGTCCCCCGCGTTAGTCTCTCCCTCGTTCCAGTTGATGAGCCTGTGTGGGCACACAGTCACCACAGTGCGTAGTTTCTGTTAGGCTTCGCTCTGGAGCTATATATTCTGTGGGTTTGGGAAACTATCTGGTACATACTCACCATGACAGCGTCATTCAGAGTAGTTTCACGGGCCTTTTACTAAAGTCTGTCTAGCTCTGTCTTTTCCAGAATGTCAGAGTGGGTTGCATATAGCATGGAGCCCCTGCAGACTGGCTTCTGCCACCCAGTGAGACACGTGTAAGCTTCTCCCATGTCTTGGAGTAGCACCTTTCCTTTTGACTCTGAATAATAACACTCCCGTCTGGGCGGGCTGCAGCTTGTCTGTGCGTCCACCCACTGACGGCCATCTGGGTTGTTTCCCAGGTTTATGAAGAAAACTGCTCTCAACATCCCGTTCAGGTGTTCGTGAGTGAACCTGAGTTTGCCGCCCCTGGGGGAATGTCAAGAAGCGTGTGCTTGCTGGGTTAATGTGGGAGGAGTACGCAGTATGCACATTGAATTTTGCAAGAAGCTGCTAGGCTGTCCTGGAGCTGGCCATGCCATGGGCCTGTGCTGGACTGGGCACCTGCGGCCACATCCTCGCCAGCTTGAGTGTTGTCTGAGCCTGCATTTGCCTGTGCTGGCACGTGTGTGATGGCACTTCATCACGTGCCGTGGAGCAGCTCTTCATCTGCTTGCTTATTCTTTACCCTTTTTTGGAGAAGTGCCTTTGGCCTGTTCTATACCATTAACTATCAATAGTGCTATAGCTTTAACTCTCAGGAGTTCAACTTGAGCCATTTCATTCCTTTCTGTTCTTGCACCATGAGGGGAGATATGGAGCTTTTTTTTTTTAAGATTTATTTATGTGTGCATACAGAACTTGGGTACAGGCCAGAGGTGCAAGGGCGGTGAGAGAATTCACCAGAGACAGTGGGGAACAGAAACAGGTCGACCGTAGAAGTCCACTGCTGAGGGGAGCAGCGGGCAGGTCAGGAGAGGTCTGCCACGCCATGTGGTCACCTCTGGGGCAGGCGGGGATCGAACTCATGCTGAAGTGGCTTTAATTTCTTAGTGCTGTGCTTTAACCCGCTGCGCCACCAGGGAGGGCCCGGTATGGAGCTATTTAAGGAGTTTCCACAACTAGTTCCAGTTTGGGTTGAGTAGGGTGAAAGTTTCCAAGTTTTGAAAGTGTTCAAAAATTATTTAAAGTGTATCTACACAAATGCACAAAAAATATTTCCCAGATACTAGCTAGATCATTGCAAGAATTCACTAAGCAGATACTGTCCTCCGTCTTAGGACTAAACAAATGGAGGGCGGAAGGGGTTGCAGGTAAGTCTTCCGGTGTCAAGTCAGCTGCGTTGTTCTCAGCCCCGAGGTCCTGCTAACGTGTCTGCCTGTGCCGGGGGCCAGCGCCAACTCCTCCTGGCCTGGCAAGGAGTTCTCCACTGCTGTGGTGCTTCACCAGCAGAACAGGCGCTGCAGGGTTTCTGGCATATGTGTGTTTCTTTGCACGTTAACTAGTTTTTTGTGTGTCTCAGAATAGTCACCGATAACTACCTTGTGTGAAGGACAGGTTTTTGTGGTGATTTTTTTTCTTTGAAACTGCACACACTTAATCGTATCAGCTATCAGAAATGAAATTGCCTCCAGTTAATTTAATGGGCGCTGCCCGTTGGGTGAATGCCACGTTGGACCTTGCTTTCCCCACACAGCCTGCATCTGTACCCGGGGCGTAGCTGGCACTCTGGTGCTTCATTATAGCCAGCGTCGCCTCTCCAGGACTGTTGCGTCTGCTTAGTGAGGACCGTCTGGCTTTCTGGTGTAGCTCTTTAAAACTCAGGCTGGCTTGAGCAGAGTGGAGCAGGACAGTCGGCAGGCGCCCAGGTTGGTCATGCTGGGGCCTCTGCCTGCCCTCGCACTTGCTCCCCTTCCCCGGCCCGTCGCGCTCACCACCGCTCTCGCTGCTGCTGCTCCCACTTGTGCAGGAGTCACTTGGCACGTCACTGGTCTTGCCCGCTCAGTGCTTCCTCCCTGTCCCCGTTACTTACTGCCCACTTTGTGGTGGCTGGCGCGGGGTGGCGCTCAGTCAGTATCTGCAGCGAATATTAATGAGGAGAGTATTGTGAAGCACACATGCGGGTAAATGAGCGGTCTTGTTCCCTGCGGGCCCCTGCCCTGGTCCTCTGCAGCTCTGTGGGCTCCGGCCGTGGGCTGTGGGCGCTCTGTTCCCAGCCGGCTTTGCCGGGCCTGGCCCCGGGGCTTCGCGCCTCGAGGGCTGGAGCGGTCTTGCCCCTTGTTCTTTTTCTGACTTTCTCCCTGCCTGGGAGCGCGTCATGTGTGAGCTGACATTTAGACCCGCCTACAGCAAAGGTTATAGCCCGATCTGGCCGTGGTGTGCGCTCACGGCAGACCCTGCTGGGGGCCTGGGCATCTGCACTTGTTGCTGTCTGTGGGCTTGGAAGAGGAGAGCGCACAGCTGAGAGGCAGTAGAGCAGGGCCCCTGCCTGGCCCACTTTGGCGTGAAACTGCTGCTAGAGGGCCCGCCCCCGGCCTCACTGCCCCTCCAGCCGCAGGGCGGGCTGAAGTTGCAAGCGTGCTGTTCAGAAGGGGCTTTGGAGGGCTTTACTGGCACAGTAACTCACATACCTGTTTCTCCTTTCGCAGAGTGATCAGCAGCTGGACTGTGCCTTGGACTTGATGAGGCGCCTGCCTCCCCAGCAAATCGAGAAAAACCTCAGCGACCTGATCGACTTGGTACGTGCTGTGTTTGAAAAGTTTTGATTTGGGGCTGTGGCTCGTAGTTGGGTGTTGGTGCACCCTTTTCTGTGCAGAATCCAGGACACTTGGAGATCTCTCTGTAGCCGGACACCCCTACAGGCTCCCCTAGTCTTCAGGGAGGTGGTGTGCTCCTTCCAGAGACAGCCTGCGCTAAGGAGCCCAGCATGGGAGCGCGACCTCGGTTGCCTCTGCCCTCGCCCAGCTGCCTCGCACCCGGCATGGGGAAGAGGCCGCCCACGGCCTGCTGGCGTCCAGCGGTGGACCTGGGCCTGAGCAGCCTGCTCACGTGTGGCTTGCTCCAGCTGAGCAGCGCACACCTGCCTGTCAGATGCTCCAGTGGCTTCTCTGCTAGTTTGAACGAGGGCAAAACTCTAGAACTGGCCTTAAAAAAAACTCAGTCCAG